GTAAAGACAGGACAGTCAGTACAGAGCAATAAAGACAGGACAATAAAGACAATACAGTCAGTACCTGGCAATAAAGAATTTTTGTTAAATTTATGTTGACTGGGATAGAAGATTCGGCTAGTCCCTAGTTACCATTCAATATTTGGGGGTTGAACAAGCACTTAGACAGTCAGAAAGAGACCATGACGATGTGGATGTACTATGTCTCCATTAGCGACTACCTATTCTGTTAAAAGTCGGAAGATGACTTTAAACAGAATAAGTCGTCGCTAATGGAGACAAAACTAATAAGAAGAAACTCCACAGGAGAGCCTGTACAGCAGGAGTCTACCAATAATCAGTAGAAGTCATCTCTCGTCGACAAATGTTTCGGCCCACGAGCTACTAGACATTTTCAGAGAGTGGGCCCACCTGAGTTCATGAAGCTTAGGGTGGTTTCTCCTACTGCACGTATTACCTGATGTTATCGGACAGGGACAAGACGAATTGGTGACTTTGCAAAAGGTACTGTGAGATATGAAGTCGTTGCGGTAGCATAATTAAAGCAGTCTGCTTACCTGGACGACTAAGTGGCAAGCTTACGTTTTGTTTACCGGACACATGTTGGACTTTGTTGGCAGGTGGCAGAGGGACACTGGCAGACAAAGCGGACACGATGGACTTTAAGGGATAAGAAACTCTTTTTAACTAGACACCCGGACCAGCTCACCGAGGCCCGTCCCCGACAACGTTCCGTTGTGTCCAGAGCCAGCTCGATGCCCTCTCAGCAACCTCGCCCAGCTGTTTGATTGTTCGTTTGCGTTCATTTCCTTGTAGGCCTAGTTGTTTAATCACATTGTAAAGTGAAGTGGAAACGAGAGCCCTTGCGCCTACCTCGAAGGCGAAGATTCTTATTGTGTACTGTCTTTCCTCAGACCGGCCGCTAAGTCACTGTATTTCTCGAGCTTATACATATGGCTTTCGTCCATTCGCGACTCATACGACACAGTCAGCTCAATCAGCATGAGCTGACGTTTCTCCGCAGAGAGGAGAACTATGTCAGGTCGCAGGCCAGTCTTCCGGATTAACTCAGGGTACTTTTCATGACCAGGCAGGTCAACCGCCAGTAACCAGTTCCTCGTACACTCTAGCATCGATGGAGCGTATGCGACTTTGTTGAATCTACCTTTATGAATCTGCCCAGCCTTAAGGAAGCGTATGGGGACGACGATAGGACTGGCCCTCGCATTGACCCTCATTCTAACTTGGTCCACAACGGCAGCTAACTCTTTCAGCACCTTGTTGTGCGCCAAGTATACCTGCCTTGACCTAGGGCTTTTCTGCACGCTGACAGTACGTGCTCTAGCGTCTGTTTAGCTCTGCATAGCGGGCATGTCGAGTCGTTAGTCGCACTCCACTTTACCATGTTGACACCGGACGGTAAAATATCGTAGGCAGATCGAACGATAAAGCTCAGTCGCAGCGGGTTTCATTCCCCAGATCTCACCCCATGTGAGTACCCTTGGCAAGGCGCTCTCCAGGCTAATCCAATTTCCCTGCTGCGACTGTTGGGCTGCTTTCTGAACCCAGACCTCGTTTTCGTTGTCTCTGATTTGCTGTACAACCATGTCTCGGCGCTCTTTGGCTGTGTCCTAGGCCTCGAAGGTCGGCTTGAGTGTAACCCACAATCTCCCTTAATTTTAGTGCATTCTGGGCAGATTTGATCGCATCTAGGAACTCCCACTTGACGCCAGTCCTTAGAGCGGACTGGACAGCGGTGACATTTGGGTCTGAAGACTCACGCAAAAGCATGGCGAGTCTTACTTTGCCGACTCTAAACTCTTCGGTTATTGATTTGAACGGGAGTACCAGCTTAACCTGTTTACAATACAGAGCCACATTAGTCAGATAAGGCGGTGCTCCCAACCATTTCCTCATCGCTGTGTTGATTTTGCGCTCCATCGTCTCCCCTGCAGTCATCGTCACTTCGTAGACGAACAGCGGCCAGAGGAGCTATGGAATCAACATAAATTGGAGACATCAGACCTTGAACTTTCCGATCAGCCTGCTGCGCTCTATCGCGAGCAGGCCTGTAGCCAGTGACTCGTGTATTTGCCGGACCTCCGCTTTATCGGATAACTTCGAATCGTAGACGCGACCAAGGCTCTTCACCGGTTCCTCTAGAACTGTGGGGATCCGTTTCCTTGCCACCGTAAAACTGGTTGCCGCTACCTTACCTTTTAGGATTGACAGACTCCTCGACTTCTGCTGTTTGAATTGCATACCGCTCCATTGGACCACCTCATCCAATCTTTTCAGAACCGTGCAGGCAGATTCCTCACTGCCCGCGATTATAGTCGTGTCATCCATAAATGCACGTAGTGGTGGCATCCAGTGATCCCCAACCTGAAGGCACTGTCCGTAGCCGGCCGCCCCGTCTAACATGACCTGCATGGCCATAACGAACAGTACTGGCGAGATCGTACACCTCATAGCTATCCCAACTTGAAGCTCAGACCACCTCGTAGTAAACGTCGAGGTAGAGAAGCGCAAAGCGAACTTAGAGAAATTTTGCTCGATCATTTCGTTGATCTGTGTCGGTATGTGGAACATGCGAAGGGCCTTCCACAGTAGCTTATGGGGAACTGCCCCATAGGCGTTGGCGAGGTCCAACCATATTACGTGCAAACTTAGTTCTCTCATGCTTGGCTCTCTGAACAGACTCCCAAATCATGGTCGCGTGTTCAAGGCACACAGGGACGCCCGGGATTCCACCTTTCTGAACATTCGTATCAAATACTCGCCATCAGATTCTGTGTGAGCCGGCGAGCCAGGAAGGAGAAGAATATTTTGCCCTCCACGTTCAACAGCGAAATAGGCCTGAATTGGGAAAGACTCTTCGAGTCTTGCTCTTTGGGAATGTAGACCCCGTTGGCCCGTTGCCACTCCGGACATATGTGATTTCGGCTCCACTCTTGTCTCAACATGCGGTGAAGCATTCGTAGGACTTTCGGACAACGCTTGTACAGGACGTACGGAACACCATTCGGACCTGGAGCAGACTTGCGGTTAACTCTTTTCACAACTTCCATGACCTCAGACCAAGAGGGAGGTATCACTTTAAATGATACCTTCGGCAACTCAGGCTGCTTAAGGCCTTTAAGGATCTCTGGACTGTTATCGAGAGGCTCATTCCTCTTTTTGTCAGAGTACATTTTGTGTAAATGTGATTCAAGCTCCTCTTTACTGACAACCAGAGTCCCAGACTTTGGTTGCTCGAATAGACCTCGGGCAAACCGGAACGGGTCCCTAAAGAATTTCTTTCGCTCCCTTTTGGTTCCCCGTCTGTTGTTACAGAAACGCTCAGCGCGACAGAGGGCACTGAGTCTGTTTCTTAGGTGCAACCAGACTTCATGCAGCCCCTCCCGTTCGTTGCCTGTAGCGATTTTCAACCGTTTTCTGAGTGCGTTCTTGTCTGCCCGGAACTTCAGAATGTCCCTCTGTCTCCTGCTTGTATTCTGCTTGACGCCCGGCGGCGCCTTTTCAACTGTCCCGAACTCGTATATTACATTACCAAACATTGTAAGCTTATCACCTAACGACTTCTTTTTTAAATCATGATTTAGTTTCTCACGTTTCTCACATCCAACTTACACCACGACACCTTGTCGCTCGCAGGTGGAAACCTGATCATTGAACGCACTTCCTCAGGAATCATCAAAATGTGCGCCTCCGCAGTCGACGTCATGGGCCTCTCCGGGCGAGTGGGGTATACCCAGCCCGTCGTTCCCTAACGACTCAGAAACTACCATAGGAGTAGTAGTTTTGCGACGGCGTTTACTGCGTGGCGCCCCCTCGCATTTCATCCTTCCGGCATGAGTTCTCAGACCATGCAACCCCGTGAAGCTCTTTCAACACGTACAGAGCCAACCCGGCCGTTGGGCAAAAATCTCAGCCCGAGGGCTAGCAAGGTCGTCACCGTTAATATCTAATTGATAAAATAGAGAGCTGCGCCAGGTGATGGGAGGGAACAGACGTGTGCTAGACATTAAAAAAAAACGAAAAAAAAAACAAAAACAGACTCTTGTACAGTCCTATTTAAGAAACAAAGATCACACATAAGTTGATGTGCTTTAAAAAATATTTTTTACAGTCGAGGCGTGCCATTCTGCCAAGCTGTGATTCCAAGGTCATGTCCGGTCTATCCTCAACATTGCGTGCATCGTGTCGGCGAATGAGTGCCAACCTTATTTATATCAATGACTGATCGAAATAACAAAGCATTGAAGCGTGGAAGCTCTACAGTATTCCCTTTGATAATAACAACTAGCTTCTCACGAAATGTGTCCATCAAATGTGCGCTCATGTCGTGCACACACGCGCCAGAACAAGATCCCGTTCTAGCCTCGGGTCACAGGCAGGTCACACTGTACAGTGTAATGTTGAGTTTAATGTACAGTGTAAAGTACCGTGTAAAGTACAGGGTAATGTACAATGTAATCCACAGTGTAATGTACAGTTTAAAGTACAGTGTAATGTACACTGTAATGTTGAGTGTAATGCACAGTGTAAAGTACCGTGTAAAGTACAGGGTAATGTACAATTTAATGCACAGTGTAATGTACAGTGTAATGTACAGTGTAAAGTACAGGGTAATGTACAGTGTAATGCACAGTGTAATGTACAGTGTAATGTACAGTGTAATGTAGAGTTAATGTACAGTGTAATGTAGAGTTAATGTACAGTGTAATGTAGAGTTAATGTACAGTGTAATGTACAGTGTAATGTAGAGTTAATGTACAGTGTAATGTAGAGTTAATGTACAGTGTAATGTAGAGTTAATGTACAGTGTAATGTACAGTGTAAAGTATAGTGCAATGTACAGTGCAATGTACAGTGTAATGTACAGTGTAATGTACAGTGTAATATACAGTGTAATGTACAGTGTAATGTACAGTGTAATGTACAGTGTAATGTACAGCGTAATGTACAGTGTAATATACAGTGTAATGTACAGTGTAATGTACAGTGTAATATACAGTGTAATGTACAGTGTAATGTACAGTGTAACGTACAATGTAATGTACAGTGTAATGTACAGTGTAATATACAGTGTAATATACAGTGTAATATACAGTGTAATGTACGGTGTAATGTACAATGTAATATACAGTGTAATGTACAGTGTAATATACAGTGTAATATACAGTGTAATATACAGTGTAATGTACAGTATAATATACAGTGTAATGTACAGTGTAATATACAGTGTAATGTACAGTGTAATATACAGTGTAATATACAGTGTAATATACAGTGTAATATACAGTGTAATGTACAGTGTAATATACAGTGTAATGTACAGTGTAATATACAGTGTAATGTACAGTGTAATATACAGTGTAATATACAGTGTAATGTACAGTGTAATGTACAGTATAATATACAGTGTAATATACAGTGTAATATACAGTGTAATGTACAGTGTAATATACAGTGTAATGTACAGTGTAATGTACAGTGTAATATACAGTGTAATGTACAGTGTAATATACAGTGTAATGTACAGTGTAATATACAGTGTAATGTACAGTGTAATGTACAGTGTAATATACAGTGTAATGTACAGTGTAATGTACAGTGTAATGTACAGTGTAATGTACAGTGTAATGTACAGTGTAATGTAAAGTGTAATGTAGAGTTAATGTACAGTGTAATGTAGAGTTAATGTACAGTGTAATGTAGAGTTAATGTACAGTGTAATGTAGAGTTAATGTACAGTATAATGTAGAGTTAATGTACAGTGTAATGTACAGTGTAAAGTACAGTGCAATGTACAGTGCAATGTACAGTGTAATGTACAGTGTAATGTACAGTGTAATGTACAGTGTAATGTACAGTGTAATGTACAGTGTAATGTACAGTGTAATATACAGTGTAATGTACAGTGTAATATACAGCTTTAGAAATCAATGTAGTGCAATTGAAACTGAACGGGTATTGGGCGTGGGACACAGAAAAAGGACAGCAAGAATGAAAAGTTATCGTCAGGAGTGTCACTGATTTCCCCAGACAATTTCTCCCAGCCTCTTGTCTCGTGTCTATGTTTTTTTTTTTTTTTAATACCTCCGGTGCTATTTATTTTCTTCCTCTTTTAAAGAATCGCATCCCTTGGAGACAGCATAAGTTGACAGGTGACGGTCTCTAGCTACCTCAGTCCTACTGACCTACAAACTACACCAGGACAGTGTAACTGTTACCGTTGACTCTCTTGTTACCTGTTCGGAGATTACAGGGGATCTCTGTCGTCTGGTCTTCCTTCTGAATTGAGATTTTGTAATATGATGATTAAACTTCAAGTATCAGCACGCACGCACGAATAGCTGACTTGCTGTATAATCGGCACTGTTTAGAATAGCAAATGTGGTGTTTCCGTTAGCACAGTCGTGGTTTTACAGCTAGCACAGTTGTGGTGTGACAGCTAGCACAGTTGTGGTGTAACAGCTAGCACAGTTGTTGTGTTACTGCTAGCACAGTTGTTGTGTTACAGCTAGCACAGTTCTGGTGTAACAGCAAGCACAGTTGTTGTGTTACTGCTAGCACAGTTGTGGTGTAACAGCAAGCACAGTTGTGATGTTACAGCTAGCACAGTTGTGATGTTACAGCTAGCACAGTTGTAGTGTTACAGCTAGCACAGTTGTGGTGTTACAGCTAGCACAGTTGTAGTGTTACAGCTAGCACAGTTGTGATGTTACAGCTAGCACAGTTGTTGTGTTACAGCTAGCACAGTTCTGGTGTGACAGCTAGCACAGTTGTTGTGTTACAGCTAGCACAGTTGTGGTGTAACAGCAAGCACAGTTGTGGTGTAACAGCAAGCACAGTTGTGATGTTACAGCTAGCACAGTTGTGATGTTACAGCTAGCACAGTTGTGATGTTACAGTTAGCACAGTTGAGATGTTACAGCTAGCACAGTTGTGATGTTACAGCTAGCACAGTCGTGATGTTACAGCTAGCACAGTTGTGATATTACAGCTAGCACAGTTGTGATGTTACAGCTAGCACAGTCGTGATGTTACAGATAGCACAGTCCTGGTGTTACAGCTAGCACAGTTGTGATGTTACAGCTAGCATCGTTTTGATGTTACAGCTAGCACAGTCCTGGTGTTATAGCTAGCACAGTTGTGGTGTTACATCTAGCTCAGTTGTGATGTTACAGCTAGCACAGTCGTGGTGTTATAGCTAGCACAGTTGTGGTGTTACATCTAGCACAGTCGTGGTGTTACAGCTAGCACAGTTGTTGTGTTACAGCTAGCACAGTCGTGGTGTTACAGCTAGCACCGTTTTGATGTTATAGCTAGCACAGTAGTGGTGTTACAGCTAGCACAGTCGTGGTGTTACAGCTAGCATCGTTTTGATGTTACAGCTAGCACAGTCGTAGTGTTACAGCTAGCACAGTCGTGGTGTTATAGCTAGCACAGTTGTGGTGTTATAGCTAGCACAGTCATGGTGTTACAGCTAGCACAGTTGTGGTGTTACAGCTAGCACAGTTGTGGTGTTACAGCTAGCACAGTCATGGTGTTACAGTTAGCACAGTTGTGGTGTTACAGCTAGCACAGTCATGGTGTTACAGCTAGCACAGTCGTGGTGTTACAGTTAGCACAGTTGTGGTGTTACAGCTAGCACAGTTGTGGTGTTACAGCTAGCACAGTCATGGTGTTACAGCTAGCACAGTTGTGATGTTATAGCTAGCACAGGGGTTACAGCTAGCACAGTTGTGGTCTTACAGCTAGCACAGTTGAGGTGTTGCTAGCACAGTCATGTGTTACAGCTAGCACTTGTGGTCAGCACAGCTAGCACAGTTGTGGTGTTACAGCTAGCACAGTCATGGTGTTACAGCTAGCACAGTTGTGGTGTTACAGCTAGCACAGTCATGGTGTTACAGCTAGCACAGTTGTGATGTTATAGCTAGCACAGTCGTGGTGTTACAGCTAGCACAGTTGTGGTGTTACAGCTAGCACAGTTGTGGTGTTACAGCTAGCACAGTCGTGATGTTACAGCTAGCACAGTCGTGGTGTTACAGCTAGCACAGTCGCGATGTTACAGCTAGCACAGTTGTGGTGTTACAGCTAGCACAGTCGTGATGTTACAGCTAGCACAGTCCTGGTGTTACAGCTAGCACAGTCGTGATGTTACAGCTAGCACAGTAGTGATGTTACAGCTAGCACAGTAGTGATGTTACAGCTAGCACAGTCGTGGTGTTACAGCTAGCACAGTAGTGATGTTACAGCTAGCACAGTAGTGGTGTTACAGCTAGCACAGTAGTGGTGTTACAGCTAGCACAGTAGTGGTGTTACAGTTAGCACAGTTGTGGTGTTTTCAAAAGCACAATGACAAGAAGCTTCCTGCCAACCCACTGGCACAAGGGCAATAACCGAAAGAAACAGTTGAAAAAAGCCACCTCGGGTCGTGAACCGGGTCTAGGTTACAGAGCTAGGAAAACCCCCCCTAGTGGGTTTCCGGGGCCAAAAGCACAATGACCCACTGCCTTCCCAGAAGCATGTCGTAAGAGTCGACCTAACTGGGGGAGCTTCCTTTGAAGTCGGAGTGCATCTGCCTGGAGGCAATAACCAAAGTCTGCATTAAATTGAATCAGAAAAACTGATGCTCACGCAACACTCAGGTTCTGGAGCAGGGCAGTCCAGAAATGGAACAAACGAACAACCAGAACTTTACGCCAGGGTGGGTCTAGAGACAGAGAATAATAGGAAAACACACAAACCGAAAGATGATTTTCCATAGAACACGGTGCCGTGGACACAACCACGCCAAAGTCGCACAAAAACAAAATACCACACTCATAATTTTCCCCGAGGTGAGATACGACTACCACACTGGAGAGGATTGGCGCTTCTGATCATTATACCCCCCTCCCCCCCCTCACCATCCAGTCCATGTTTGTCTTTCTCCTCGTGTTGACACTCTGATGTAAATGTCACGCAAATAAATGTGCGCACATCAAAGCTTGTGAAGGGCCGGCTGGGAAACAGTGGGGGGAGATGGTTGGAAGCCGTGTTTGAGCTTGGATGATTGGCCACTGGGCTGTAGTTGTTTGGGCTGTCCGGTCTCTTACACCTGGTCATTTATGATGGAATGCTGGGGTACAGGCTGGCCCTGCACGCACGCGACTTATGGGATGCTTGGATAAGCGTGGCCAGAGGCATGTCCTTACCCGCGGGTTGATGTGTGAGCGACCGTTTTTGGAGCTTGTCACGGCGAGGAAAAGAAATGTAATGTGTATGTATGTGTGTGTGTGTGTGTGTGTGTGTGTGTGTGTGTGTGAGGGAGGGAGGAGACATAGAGAGGGAGAGACAAAACGCACACAGAGGGAGGTAGTGAAAGATACAGGGGCAGTGGCAGGTAGAAAGAGGCACGAACAATTACAGGCTGAGAGGGAAAAAGAAAGAGATAAGGAGAGGGTAGACAGACTGATAGACAGATAGACAGACTGACTGACAGACAGACAGACAGACATACTGACTGATAGACAGACAGACAGACAGACAGACAGACAGACAGACAGACAGACAGACAGACAGACAGACAGACAGACAGACAGACATATAGGCAGACGGACGACGGACGGACGAACGGACGGACAATCGGACGGATGGACGGACAGACAGACAGACAGACAGACAGACAGACAGACAGACAGACAGACAGACAGACAGACAGACAGACAGACAGGTTAGCTTGTTGGTTAAAGGAATCTATACTTATGTAATTGTCCTTCTCTTTTCTTGTTCTTTTATTCATGATAATAATTAATAACAATGATAATAAAATGCACTTCTTCTTCTCCATCTTCTTTTTCTTCTGCTGCTGCTGTCACCGCATCACCTTCTTCTCTTTCTCGACCCTCCCCCCCCCCCGTGTTTTTTTCCTCCTCGATGTGTTTTGTATCGTTATTGTTATTATTGATGTGATGATATTATGTAACGTCTTGTTTGAGATCACAGGTGAGATTGGAGTCAGTTGACAGACATCAATATGATCTGTGACCCAGACAGCATCATAGACCTCAACGTGGGAGGTGTTTATTACAGCACAAGCCTGGACACACTACGTAAAGAACCCAACAGTTACCTGGCCAAAATCTTCTCGGACCGCACTAAGCAAAGCTCCATCAGAGACACCAAAGGGAAATACTTCATTGATCGGGACGGTGTTCTTTTCAGGTATCTTGCTGTTAAGTTTACTCGGCTGTTTTCTCAGTCGGGTTGTCCTTAAATGATTGTGTCCATGTTGTAAGAAGCCAGTCAAGTCAAGGACCCTTGTGCACGCCTTCGGGCAGACTGAATATATAGGACTAGACCTATATTCTATAGACCAATGGCTATTTTGTGGGTGATGTGGTCAGCAGTACACCCTCTGCCTTTACTTCTCGGGACTGTATCTGGTACTCGGGACTGTATCTGGTACTCGGGACTGTATCTGGTACTCGGGACGGTATCTGGTACTCGGGACTACATCTGGTACTCGGGACTGTATCTGGTACTCGGGACTGTATCTGGTACTCGGGACTGTATCTGGTACTCGGGACTGCATCTGGTACTCGGGACTGTATCTGGTACTCGGGACTGCATCTGGTACTCGGGACTGCATCTGGTACTCGGGACTGTATCTGGTAGCCACTGAAAGCTCGGTCGCTGAGAGACCAGGTTATTTTTATAAAAAAGTCCAGATCTGTCAGGACTAGAGCTCACACCCTTTAGATACGCAGGCGAGAGCCTAGCAACTACACCACTGCAACTCCCATGTCACGAGAAGAGGGAACCTGGAACACGTGATCACTTAACGGGGAGTCGCTAAAACTAAACGATGTCATACTTAGGACACTTTCATAAGCGCCTAGTCCCCATCTTCAGCAGCAAGCAAAGAGTTCGAATTCCGATGGTACTTGTAACGGTCTAGCCACAGCGTGTAGTGGCTAAAACTAGAAAAGGTAACACAAATACAGGACTGTTCCAGCTACATTGTGGAGTTGCTAAAACTACAGGGAGTCGCACACGTAAATACAGACAGACAGACAGACAGACAGACAGACAGACAGACAGACAGACAGACAGACAGACAGACAGACAGACAGACAGACAGACAGGACAGACAGGACAGACAGACAGATAGACAGATAGGACAGACAGACAGATAGACAGATAGATAGATAGATAGATAGATAGATAGATAGATAGATAGATAGATAGATAGATAGATAGATAGATAGATAGATAGATAGATAGATAGATAGATAGATAGATAGATAGATAGATAGATAGATAGATAGATAGATAGATAGATAGATAGATAGATAGATAGATAGATAGATAGATAGATAGATAGATAGATAGATAGATAGATAGATAGATAGATAGATAGATAGATAGATAGATAGATAGATAGATAGATAGATAGATAGATAGATAGATAGATAGATAGATAGATAGATAGATAGATAGATAGATAGATAGATAGATAGATAGATAGATAGATAGATAGATAGATAGATAGATAGATAGATAGATAGATAGATAGATAGATAGATAGATAGATAGATAGATAGATAGATAGATAGATAGATAGATAGACAGATAGATAGATAGATAGATAGATAGATAGACAGATAGACAGATAGATAGATAGATAGATAGACAGACAGACAGACAGACAGACAGACAGACAGACAGACAGACAGACAGACAGACAGACAGACAGACAGACAGACAGACAGACAGACAGACAGACAGACAGACAGACAGACAGACAGACAGACAGACAGACAGACAGACAGACAGACAGATAGATAGATAGATAGAGATAGAGAGAGAGAGAGAGAGAGAGAGAGAGAGAGAGAGAGAGAGAGAGAGAGAGTTTTTGAAGAGAAGCCATGGAAAATTTTCACCCTAGTGTCATCGACGAGGTTAAAATTGTTTTTTTTTTTAACAAATTCACTAAAATCGTTTTCTTCAGTCTCAAACTGTAAATATCGTGAAAGTTCTCCTTAAGCTATTCAAAGACTCACTTATCCGTCAGATCTGTTTGCACTAGAGTGGATCATCGTTCATATTTTACAATGACCTTTGCTCCTGTTGCTGTAATGAGACTGCACAGTCAGATACAGTTATCTAATAAACAGCTCAAGGTTTCCTGGCCCGGCATTCATGTATCCATTGTAATATCAATACACTTTCTGTTACTCGATTAATGCATAGTGTATCCATTGTGCGCATTTTCCGGGTCATCTTCGGTGGGAAAGTGGGGGGAGGGGGCGGGAATGTGACAAACGTAATAATACTACGGGGAACTGCACGACTGGAGCATGCACTGCGCAGGAGTCTACCGATCTTAAGTAGGTGTTTCCTCTTTCAACAATTGTTTCGACCCGCTTACCTCCGAAGATAATCTCGGGGGTTGGAATAGAGGCTGGGTCATGATTCCCGGACTTTCAACTTCTTCTGTTGCGCTTATTAGACGAGAAATCATTGTAATTGTGCCAGGTACTGAGATTATAGTGCTTAGGTAGCCAATTACCCGCCTGCCTACACGTTGAGAGGGACTAATGGACGGCTGGTTCATCGGAAAGACGTTTATTCGACACACGTTAGCAGTTGGCACCAGCACGGGCAGACGTTAACAGGACAACATTTGGTTTAAGGAACAAACAGTTTATTTCACCCACAAGGGACTCGGACCAGTCTACCGAGGCCTATTCCCCACATCGTTCCGTTTTGTCCACAGCCAGCTCGAAGCTCTTTCTGCAGTTTTGCATAGTTGCTTCAGTTCCTGTTTACTCGCGTTTCCTTGCAAGCCTACCTGATTTAGAACATTGCATGTGGAATCGGCAGTTAGCCTTCTGTGTGACTGAGATGTAGTGTGTGGATTTCGCGGGGATGTGACACAGTTATCTGCACACTGCGATCACCTGTGGCAGTAGGAGTGGACACAGAACATTTGAATAATACTAGAAGATCCATGTTTGTTCACTGGCGCTGGACCCTTCCAGGAAGGTTAAATACTAGTGTGTGTAGCTAGGAGAACTATAAGTCCTGTACCAGCTACTCCGGCGACTCGTCAGTGACAAGTGTTGGTTTTGAGCAGACTGGCAGCCATATACCCTTTTGATTTAGTCTGGATTGACAGACGTTGAGTTACGACGATGATTATGGGTTACATTCTTTGTTAGGGTTCACTGTCTGTATTACAGACTTCAGGACTTATTATCGTTCAATTTTCATTAGCAATGATGTTGTCTGACTGAAACATGTGGCAACCACAGCCTCTCCCTGCCTATACTGAATAAATCTGAAACACGAGTACATCATTTTCTTGAAGTTCAGTTGTTGTAAGTGTTTCCTAAACTCAGCTAAACTATTTTATGTACGTCTGCTATTGGTCAGTCTTACCAGTAGTAGTAAGGACAGTTAGTTAGTTATTAGTTAGTTAGTTAGTTAGTTAGTTAGTTAGTTAGTTAGTTAGTTAGTTAGTTAGTTAGTTAGTTAGTTAGTTAGTTAGTTAGTTAGTTAGTTAGTTAGTTAGTTAGTTAGTTAGTTAGTTAGTTAGTTAGTTAGTTAGTTAGTTAGTTAGTTAGTTGGGTTATCATCATTGCACTCCGGACATGTCCATAGGTGCTCAGATCCTCCCCTCAGTATGAACCCCAACGTCTGATGGCTAATAGTACCAGTTCTATGTTGATTAAAAAGTCTTCTGGCGTGTCTGGTGTGCGTCTCGTTTTTTGCTGTGCCGATCTTAATTCCCAAGTCTGCCATTCTGGCGAGTGATGTGGATTCACTGCCATCAAAGTCCTCCATCCTTCCCATTTCTCTGAGGGCATTGATAATATCAGCATGATCCATAGGCTGAACGTTGGTAGTGATAGCGGATCCAGCCAACCTGTCAGCTCTTTCATTTCCATCGACGCTTGCGTGTCCCGGAACAAAAATAAAGGTGACTCCACGCACAGTGGACTTCTGTAATGATTCAAGCCATTGTTTTCGCACTGAACCTGCCTGGACCCTCCGGATCATACTCATTGAATCACTGACTATGCATACGCGGGTGTATTTTTGTGTTTCAAGCCAGGCAAACGCATGCGTCACTGCCATCACTTCCATCGGCATGCTGCTGGTTGTCATGGAGTAGACGTCGGTGGCTTCTTTGACTGTTCTGTCCGCTGAGCGTGCTGTAAATGCCCATGCGCTTCTTCTTTGGCGTATAACGGATCCGTCTGTATAGATTAGTGCATCTACTTCGTCTGAATTTTCACTGATGAGAGCGTTGACCTCTGCATTAACAGCAACAGGATTTTTTTCTCTACATCGTCTGTTGAGTGTGACAATACAGGAAAATGTACAAATAAACGCCTGAGGCACAGGTATCCATTCTGCACCAGGTATGATGTCGGTTAGGCTGCATATTTGCTTAATAACATCTTCTGCCCGACCTAGCCACGATTTTCCCCTGTTTAGTCTGTCACCCTTTTCACTAAAAAGTGCTTGATGCAGTGGGTGTTTCTTATCAGCACATATTTTGAGATATGCCCGAGCCCTCCACATCCCGATCCTTTTGTTCATTGTTGGAAAGTCAAGTAGATACCTCATTGCTCCACAGGATGTGTCTCTTGTACATCCCAAAATAATGCGCATGGCTTCATTTTGCACCTTTTCGAGTCGTTCAATCTGGGTAGCACTGACAGTGAGGATAGCCAGAGCGTATTCAATGGGGGAAAGGACCAGACCGTAGAATAGAAGTATTAGTAGTCTTTGCATGATATTGGAAGCAGCCATAATCCTCATTGTAGATAGACCTTTGCTTGCCTTTGTTATCACATGGTCAACGTGTTCCCTGAATGACAAGCTGCGATCGAACCTCACCCCGAGAAACGTCATAACGTTGGTTCTGATCAATACATTATCACGCATTTTTAGTTCTGGTAAGTCCGACTTGATAATGTGATTGTTCAAAGAGAACCATGACATTAATGCCTTCGAAGGATTGACATAGGCATTGGAACCATCACACCAGGCGGCAATTCGATCGAGTTCTTTGTGCACTGTGCACAAAGTAAGGACAGGTTTACAGTGATCAGGGTGTCAGGAGAGGAATATGGACAACTGAAAATAAAACTGAGGCTACTTGTCCATCCACTGTCTCCCTCATCCTAGGAGTGATGTCTGCTGATTTTTATCTGATCTCCGGGATCATACCTCACGTGCTATATAATGCGTTACCAACAAGGCGTCAGTAACTTTTCCTGCGTGGTGGGAGCCTTCCCCTGGACACATACACGGATAACCGCTTCACTAAGTGACTGCTGACTTACATTTGTTTTGTTTTTTTAAAACTTTAACGCTAAGATTCAGTACAGTACTAAAAATATTTATATGTGTCATAAATCACATGATTCCATCTTTACTTTCAGGTACATCCTTGACTACCTCCGCAATCTGAAACTGGTTCTGCCAGAAAACTTCCATGAGAAAGATCGCCTGCAACAAGAAGCTGAATTCTACAATCTTCCAGATCTGGTGAAAATCCTCAACAACTTTTCGACACACAGATCTTCACATCACTCGGCATTGTCATGTTCGCTGCACACTAAGAGAGAATGTGAAGCCATCAAGTCTTTGTCACATACTGCTAGTCCTTCAGGTGCACCAACACAAGTCCGACAGCCATCGACATCTGACGAATTGGCTTTGCCTTCCAGAAGTGCTGAGAATTCGACTAACGCCTCTTCAAGTTCTGCGCCATCTCCTGTGGGAGACAGGGGACCAGGCTTTATCACTGTTGGCTACAGGGGCACATTTGCTTTTGGACGAGATGGCCTGGCTGACGTAAAGTTCCGCAAGTTGAGCCGAATTATTGTTTGTGGCAAGGTGTCTCTGTGTCGAGAAGTCTTCAAAGATTCTTTGAACGAAAGTCGAGACCCTGATCGAGGGGAAAATGATCGTTACACTAGTCGCTTTTTTCTGAAGCATTCTTTCTTGGAACAAGCTTTCGATAACTTGCAAGAGGAAGGCTTTACCCTTGTTGGAAGCTGTGGGTCTGGTACTAACAGCGCTGGGGAACTCAAACCAGGCATGGATTCAGAGGAAGCCAAATGGCAACATTATAACGAGTTTATTTTTGAACGACACTGAAAGAGATCCGCTGGCAGTGTAGCAGAGGCAGAGAACAATCATGCAATGTCAAGCTGTGCTGTGTTTAAATATTTAGTCCCAAACAACTAATTGGCCCACTTCCTGTATTTTTCATTTTGGTTTGATCTACAAAAACGAAACCTGACACCTCCAGTGACTACTGTCACTCTGACAGTCCCGAACAAGGTGAGATGTCCTATTGACTGACACCCCCCCCCCCTCACCACCCCCGCAATAAGTCGTCTTCTACTTGCAGTCAGTAGTTGATGACCTTAGGCTGGTTGTATAGGAGATAATGTGTCTAGTGAATGCTCTTAGCACACATTCTTAAGACGACATAACTGGGACAAGCCGACATTGACTCCAAAGTACGATACAGTTTATTGACATCTCATCACTTACATAGAATGTCCCGTCCGTGTCCTATTCACAGCTTACACGCACCACATGGTTCAGATGCCAACACGCTGACTTCTCCAACATTCATCGGAGGAGTTCGGCGCTTTCACTTCCACATCGCCACATAGACATATCTGTTCATTTCCTCAAGCTTTACACCACTTGGCTTGGCTGGACTTGGCTTGGCTGGACTTGGCTTGGCTGGACTTGGCTGGACTTGGCTTCGAAGGATGTTGTCATCTGTCCTCCTTTCGCAAAACTCAGTTTCACGTTCTCATTCTCCCGAACACTCTCACGTCCTCTCGCTCTGATGGTCAACACATACTAACCTATACTGACTTGACCAGACTGGGTCAGACTTATACCCAGTGTTCGTTCCACGTGGCAACACGTGGTTGTTCTTGGGTTCCACGTGGCGACCTGTGGTCGTTCTCCTTGGGTTCCACGTGATAACTCGTGGTCGTTCTCCTTGGGTTCCACGTGATAACTCGTGGTCGTTCTCCTTGGGTTCCAGGTGATAACTCTTGGTCGTTCTCCTTGGGTTCCACGTGGCGACCTGTGGTCATGATAACTCGTGGTAGTCCCCAACCTCAGTTAATTCGAATATCTGGCTTCTCTCGGTATTATTGTTATCTTGGGGCTGCCCCCCCCCCCAACCTTACCACTCAGGGGGAAAATATCCCCCATCACACCCCCTCCAACCTTCCCAATCAGGGTGAAAATATCCCCCATTACACCCCCCTCCTAACCTTCCCAATCCGGGTGAGAATATTCCCCATTACACTCCCCCCCCCCCAACCTTCCCAATCAGGGTGAGAATATCCCCCATTACACCCCCCCCCCCCAACCTTCCCAATCAGGGTGAAAATATCCCCCATCACCCCCCACCCCCCCACCTTCCCAATCAGGGTGAGAATATCCCCCATTACACCCCCCAACCTTCCTAATCAGGGTGAAAATATCCCCCCATTACACCCCCCCCCCCCAACCTTCCCAATCAGGGTGAAATATCCCCCATTACACCCCCCCCCCCCCCAACCTTCCCAATCAGGGTGAAAATATCCCCCATTACACCCCCCCCCAACCTTCCCAATCAGGGTGAAAAATATCCCCATTACAACACCACCCCCCCCCCAACCTTCCCAAACAGGGTGAAAATATCCCCCATCACACACCAGGTTGGAAATATCCCCCCCCCCCCCTTCCCAACCTTCTCACTCATGGTGAAAATATCCCCCATCACACCGCCCCCCCCCCCAACCTTCCCACTCAGGGTGAAAATATCCCCCATTACCCCCCCCCCAACCTTCCCACTCAGGGTGAAAATATCCCCCATTACACCCCCCCCCAACCTTCCCACTCAGGGTGAAAATATCCCCCATTACACCCCCCCCCCCCCAACCTTCCCAATCAGGGTGAAAATATCCCCCATTACACGCCCTCCCCACCCTTCCCAATCAGGGTGAAAATATCCCCCATTACACCCCCCCCCCAACCTTCCCAATCAGGGTAAAAATATCCCCCATTACACACCACCCCCCCCCCCCAACCTTCCCAAACAGGGTGAAAATTTCCCCCATCACACCCCCCCCCCCCAACCTTCTCACTCATGGTGAAAATATCCCCCATCACCCACCCCCCCCCCCCCAACCTTCCCACTCAGGGTGAAAATATCCCCCATTACCCCCCCCCCCCCCAACCTTCCCACTCAGGGTGAAAAATATCCCCCATTACCCCCCCCCCCCAACCTTCCCCTCAGGTGTGAAAATATCCCCCATTACACCCCCCCCCCTAACCTTCCCAATCAGGGTGAAAATATCCCCCATCACACCCCCCCCCCCAACCTTCCCACTCCAGTGTGAAAATATCCCCTATCACACCCCCCCCCCCAACCTTCCCCAATCAGGGTGAAAATATCCCCCATCAACCCCCCCCCCCCCCAACCTTCCCAATCATAGTGAAAATATCCCCCATTTCAACCCCCCCCCCCCCCAACCTTCCCACATCAGGGTGAAAAATATCCCTCATTACACCCCGCCCCCAACCTTCCCAATCAGGGTGAAAATATCCCCCAATACACCCTCCCCCCCCCCCTTTTTTTTTTTTTTCACTTCTAGCCCCGCCCACTTTTCCACGCCATGTTACGTTCTAACATCTCATATCCTCCTTAGATACGTTTGTAATAGTGACACATCTCATATCCTCCATAGATATTTTTGTGAGAGTTGAATGACAGTTAACGAATCAGTTTGTGACACGTCTCATATCCTCCATAGATACTTTTGTGAGAGTTGAATAACAGTTAACGAATCAGTTTGTGACACATCTCATATCCCCCATATATACTTTTGTGAGAGTTCAATGACAGTTAACGAATCAGTTTGTGACACGTCTTATATGTTCCAGAGAAACTTTTGTAAAAGTTCGGTGACAGTTAACGAATCAGTTTGTGACACATCTCATATGTTCCAGAGATACTTTTGTAAAAGTTCAATGACAATTGACGAAGATACTTTTGTAAAAGTTCAATGACAGTTAACAAAGATACTTTTGTAAGAGTTAAATGACAGTTAACGAATCAGTTTGTGACCCGTCTAATATGTTCTAGAGATATTTTTGTGAGAGTTCAATGACAGTTAACGAAGATACTTTTGTGAGAGTTCAATGACAGTTAACGAAGATATTTTTGTGAGAGTTCAAAGACGGTTAACGAAATAGTTTGCGAAAATCTGATATGTTCCGTAAATATTTATTAACAGTTGAATGAAAGTTATCGAAACAGTTTGTAACACATTTGATATGTTCTATAGATACCTTTGTAAGAGTTGACTGATAAACGGAGAGAGGGGGAAAAAAGGGAGGGGGGGGGGTAAAGTTAACAATAACACACTAATTGCCCCAAAAGCTTCCTCGTACACTGCTTCGAACTATTCGACAATATCAGTGATCAAACCTTCTATATTTTGCGGATTAGAACCTAAACATTCGGACTGGTAGTCCAGAGTGCAGCGGCTCCGAAAATCTCCTCTAATATAAAAAGAAATCCAGCCGTGTTGAACGGGTTATTTCTCCCTTTTTTGGGGAGCTGGAAACAATTTTTAATCTTCTTTTTTTTTTCCTACCTGTATCGTCTCTCTGACACTAGGTTGTAGTCCAGACACGTGGTTTTATCCTCTTTCTGATACCAGGTTGTAGCCCAGACACGTGGTTTAATGTCTCTCTGACACCAGGTTGTAGCCCAGACACGTGGTTTTATCCTCTTTCTGATACCAGGTTGTAGCCCAGACACGTGGTTTTATCCTCTTTCTGATACCAGGTTGTAGTCCAGACACGTGGTTTTATCCTCTTTCTGATACCAGGTTGTAGCCCAGACACGTGGTTTCATCCTCTTTCTGATACCAGGTTGTAGCCCAGACACGTGGTTTAATGTCTCTCTGATACCAGGTAGTAGTCCAGACACGTGGTTTTATCCTCTTTCTGATACCAGGTTGTAGCCCAGACACGTGGTTTTATCCTCTTTCTGATACCAGGTTGTAGTCCAGACACGTAGTTTTATCCTCTTTCTGATACCAGGTTGTAGCCCAGACACGTGGTTTAATGTCTCTCTGACACCAGGTTGTAGCCCAGACACGTGGTTTTATCCTCTTTGTGATACCAAGTTGTAGTCCAGACACGTGGTTTTATCCTCTTTGTGATACCAGGTTGTAGTCCAGACACGTGGTTCTATCTGTCTTGTCTGATGGTGTGTGTGTGTTTTGTTGTTGTTGGCCGGGGGTGAAGGATTGTCATATCCGCAAGAGTATGTCCTATATTTCAATATTCTTTCTTGTGTCGTGGCGGTTGATTATACCGCTGCCGGCTTCCTAGGCCTGTCACATGCGGGTGCAGGACAAAATATGACCTGGTTGGTTCCCGTTCCTTCCAGGCGAGCTATTTCCCCGTTAACCTGAAACCTCGAGAGAGGAGGGGTGGCTTGAGTGCTCTACGGGTGGTTGGCAGGTTACTTAAAATTCACTTTCCCCTCTCCGGAGAGAATCTAGGCATCAATTAACACTGCTGGCTGCCTGACACTGTTAACTCTTTCTGGCCCAGACGGGTGTGGCAGTAGAATAATAAATATATGCCTCTGACATGGCTCAGTTAGCTTACCTGTGAAATAGAAACATCGAGAGTATAGCAGTTTAGAACAGTTAACAAATAAATACAGCCATGTAGATAAACATCTCTACATCTTGTCTAGAGGAATTAGTAAACACTTTTTTAACCTTTTTTCGACAATGAAGGAGTTAACGACTCATCATGATAGGGGCGGTATCCATTGAGCCGTGGGTGTTCCCGACTGAAAACGCACCCATTAAAATCCCACACGAGCCCACCCTGTGACAATCAGCTAAGGACAGTTACCAGTGGTAATATGTAACGGATTCGAGGTCGCGCGACGCCACAGTCAGCTTCAAGGTAATCATTTGTGTCTACTGTATTATGTCGACAATGCCCTAGATCCTCCGGGCTTCAAGCGAGCCTCATCAACCACACTGACACTCATAATCCTGGACACTTGCTAGTCCCAAGTCAACCTCATCAACCACACTGACACTTAT